CCTATTTTTTGTAGTAAACGCTGACATTATCAATTTTAATATGTTCATTATTCCATATAAATGCCGAATAACTTCCTCAAAATGACAAGGACGTCTGAGTTTTATTTTTTCCAGGAATTAAAAACTTCCTTCCAATTTTTTTTATATTTTAATGGTTCGAAAATAAGCCAACTATGTAAAATATATATTTTGCGTGGAGGTAAATAATTGTAACTATTTAGATTTTGACTTAAATAATCTTCTTACCAATGTAAGTTTTAACCCTTGTACAAAATTTCTCAAATTAATCATTTTAAGGCCCCCTCTATAGTATTCTTGACATAGAAGATCCCGCTTTATCTTGTCAGGCTTATCATCCCAAATGAATGAATAAATTTTACTATTAAGTAGGCGTATCATATTATCATCTGGACCTGGGATAGACAGGAACAGATTATTAAATTTTGATATAATTAGAGACTTTATAATTGTTATTTTACCAAATGGGGTAAGTGACTGTTTTGACCATTTTTGTAATATATTTTCTATTTCTTGTATTCGAGGAGCACACACTTACTTAAATTTTAAATATTCCTGTGGTTATTTAAATGATGCCAAAACTATATGAGTTCGCTATTTTTACCTGTTTTGAAAATTGTATAGTTCATAACAATTTCTCATTTTTCTTATGTGTGTGTTTGTTTGATTATTTTGTAATTCTTTGTTTGTTATATTTCAATGTGTTTCATGAGGACCTCCGGGAAGATTAGTGTTTTTAGCTAACTGTATAGATAACTCTCTTTAAATAAAGAATTATTATTATTAGGTCTTTCCACTTTTCTGTGGAAAGACCTATTGTTTTTGTTCTGATTATTATTATTATTTTCTTCCGCCAAATTTTATTCTCGCGTAACATTTTTGTTTCGCAATATGTCGCTAAGATATTTCTTATATAGTATCATACAGTTTATGCGCTTTTTATTTTCACCCATTCTAAGCCAAACAATTTTCTTTGTAAGAGTTATCTCCCCAAACACTGTTTTCCTTGTGACTACATCTACTCGGTAACGGCAAAAGAAAGCGAAAAATTTATTTTATAAAATTGCTCGTTATATCCTTCGCATGATTTGTCCTATTTTGACCGAAGCGATATGAACACTCCATATGAGAGTTATTTCCCCTTATGCATGTGATATAAGTAATATGCATTTCTAACTGGTAAACCATAAGTGATAGAGACCTAGGGTCTTTTGATTTGAGGTCCTTGGTCCAAAAAAATAAAAATTAGGTCAAGGTCAAAGGTCAAGGTCACATTCTAAATTTTGATTTTGGCCTATTTTCACTTACTTCCAAAAACCGTACAAGATATCGACAAAATATTTTTACTAAATTGTAAGTTGCGACATGTCGTAACACATGAATTTTGGTTGAAAGGATAAGTTGACCGTAAAAGAGAGTTTTCTCCCTTTTTATATATAAAATTACATGTATGGTGGTATAACTCATTTACCAAGTATAATAAAGACCTAGGGTAATATGAATAAAGGTCCTTGGTGTATGACCTTGAAATTGAGCTCAAGGTCAAAGTTAAATTTGATGTTCTAGATTTTTACCTTTGCTTTAACTTCATATTTAAACACGATAAAGCCATGGGACTTTTTTTATTAGGTTGCAATTTACATGACCTTGAAAAGCCAACCGGAAGTGACCTTGTGTAAACCGGAAATAGCTTTGTTTTGTACTTATTTGATGTAAAGTGTATTGAACAATATATTTTTGGAATCAGTATCAAGTAAACTATCAAATAAAAGGGGAAGTGACATATTTCAAACTGGAAGTAACAATTTATCTCCTTTATTTAGAAAAAAATGTATATTTTTGGAATCAGTTTACAATAAGCTATCATTTGACGCTGGATATGATATTTCAAACTGAATTTTCATAGTTCTATTTCAAAATTGATCTGCATGGGTGGAAAGACCTTCAATTGTTCTCTGAACAATTGGTTTTTAATTATTATTATTATTATTATTATTATTATTATTAATTTTGAATTTTCAATTAATTTAATTCGTGTAATATCATGCGTTGTAATCGTTAATCTATATATTTGTTGAAAATGTGCAGTTAGACATTTATACGCTAGTTATGTGATATGATAGGTCAGTGTATCCAGGATACGATGCCAATCTGCCAATCTGCGTTAAATCGCGTTTTCTACAACCAGGAGACGTGCATTAACTTTTTACAAAAATAGAATGAGTCAACTTTTTCATGTTAACGCGAAAGTTAACGCGGATGTTAACACCCGTTTACTCTTTATAAAATTAGAAGACGCGCCTTTTTAGCGTTCACGTGGAGGTAAACGTGAAAGTAAACACCCGTTTACTTTTAATGTCTACAGAAATTTTGGAGTTAACGCAGAGTAAACGCTGCGTTTACATGAAGTGCACGCGAGTAAACGCTGCGTTAACTTTTTTAACCCGTCTACATGTAATGCTTGGTCTGCACCAAACTGTATATTAGGAAACACACATTGAAAGTCTGTGTGCAAGAACTTATGTTTAGGGTTAGTATACCATACATACATAACCAGATTGAATATGTAATTAGATTATATTCAGATCTTTAGCTTTTCTCCATTTGTCGCTAGTTAAATCTGAAAACTTCCTGTAAGAGTTTAATACGACCTCTTATGTACATTTTAATTGGCTTTCAAATATTCGGCGTTGAGCGTTCCTGATGAAGGTAAATCCAGAAAAGCGCTTCGGATGCATGCAATTTATAACCGGTTGTTTTCATTTTTTACAGCACTGGTTCGATACCTCTGCTGGTGGACTATCAGTCTCCGAGGGTATCTTCAGCTAAGTAGACAGTACTTTGGTACTGACATGATTTATAACAAACCTTTCTAAACTTGTCCGTTAATAATTTTTTTAGTTATTAGAAACTAAGGTTTCAACTCCCTCAGGCAAAGATGACCTTAGATTGATTTGACTGTTTTTGTAAGTCCTTATTGGTAATAAAGCTCTTCAACTGTTTTGCTTCTTATACATCCTTGGCTTTCCAATATTCGGCTTTGTGCGTTCCTGATGAAGGTTAATCCAGAAAAGCGCTTCGGACGCATGAATTTCATAACGTGTTGTTTTCATTTTTTAATCCGTCGGGAAACAATACTAATATTGTCTGAATATGTAACTTTTATAATAAATACCTGGACACAAAAGGTATTACAATGATTGCACTACTGTATTATTTAGTTTTAGAAAAGAGAAGCGAAAGATACTAAAGGGATATTCAAACTCGTAAGTCGAAAAACAAAATAAAAATTACTTGGCAAACATCAAGAAAAACAACAGTACACAAAACACAACATAGAAAACTAAAGATTGAGCAACACGAACCCTTCAAAAACACCGGGGTTGATCCCAGGTGCTCTGGAAGGGAAAGCAGATCCTTCTCCACATGTGGCACATGTCGTGTTGCGCATGTAAGTACAAACCCGATGATATGTCTAATTCAGTACATCATATTCGAGAGTAATAAGACGGGATTGTTGTTAAAACAATTGGAACATATCTGTCATCATCCAATAACGATAAACCAACTCACGATGGCGTCAATAAAATTGTCGAAGGGATGATTTCGACTTAACTAGTTGGAACGCTTGGTTCAATTGATTCCTTACGCTTGTAAGTATCAAACCTCTGTCAAGGGAATCATGATAGGAAATACAAGCTCTGGAATATCGTATTGGGAGATATTTACTCCGTATGCAAGTGCTTCTGGAGCGTTGCTACAGGAATGGAAAGTTCACAATTGGGAAGCTGAAATCATCTCCTTTTTCGTAAGGTTTTCTTCTCAAACGACTTCATTTTCAATTTCATTGTTAAATGTAAGTCAAGATATGAAGCAGAATTAACTGTGACTGTTGTATCCTTTATTTCAAGTCTGATGGTATAGATGCGTATAACATCATCACCAAACTTTGAGTTATTTAGTGAGAGGAATCTATATAGCGGAACGTGAAGTTAAATGATAATGCTAGCTTCTTTTCATTCTTCCTTAGAAGGTCCTGTATGAAGTCAGCCTCATATAAATAACGGAACTAGTTGACTAGAAGAGGAGCACAATTGGTTCCAATGGGAATGCATTTGAATGTTGAAAAACACGTCCTCCAAACGTAATACATATGTTGTCATGAAGAAAAAAGCGTCTTGATAATGTCAGTTTCAGATAATTTTTTTTTTAATCTGAGTGTTTTTCACAAAGTTCGAGCGATTAGTCAATAAGACAAGACGCTTGTATCTATGTTGGTCATTCTTTTTTTATGAATCAAAGCAGGACCAATTCTTTCAGTTTGACTTTTAGTTTTAGTTTGGAATGGAGAAAGAACTATTAAAATTATAATAATGTAGAATGCATTAAAGTTATACAGCACAGTTTGCAAACAGTACAAGTTTCCATGAAATATATTCAATTATTGATGAAGAGTAGTTAGAGAGGTAGGTCACTTCATTTAGCGATGATATAAAGAAAACAAAGATAACAACAGCGAACCAATTTTTTTCCTGCATGAATAGTTAAATGAAAAGGATTTTGTACCACTGGAAAATGTGTATGATTCATACATAAAAACATTGAAACTGAGGTCAAGTGGTGGTATGTCCATCATCCATTTGAGATTGAATAAAGCATCCACTTGTGTGATGTACTAGTATTCATATCTTAGTAAAAGATCTGATTTTAATCAGATTGAATGACCTTAACCTTTACCCAAATATAAAAAACCGACATGAATATGTTATGATTAATTACCACACTTTTTAAAAGACACACATATTTAGTTATATATTGAAGCTAAAGTGTCAACTCTGAAAGGTAAAAGTGCTTTAAACAAATCACACTTTTCAATTGTATATTACATAATGTAAGTGTACATGTGAAGTCAAAAAATCATTGTAAATGTATAGCCCAGTGGAAACAACTTGTTTTTATTTGGCTAAAAAAATAAAACTAACTCAGCAAACAGATCTAGTTTAATATCAGTGTACAATTACAAAGTTAATTTCTTGTCTAAATGAAGATATTATGTTAAATCAACATACAAATAATTGAAGATGGAATATAACAAAGTAGAAATTACATGATCTGTTGGTTCATTTAATGTACTGCTTAAAGATAAATTCAAATGCATTATCGCGTATATCTGATGATTTCGGAACTTAAGTCGCTGAAGTGTTTGCCACCAAAAAAAGATACCCTAAAAACAAAATTATGAAATTTGGAAAAGTACTTTTGCATGTAAGATCTTGTTATCTTGTTCTGTCTGTATGTTAAAATGTCAATTTAACATAAAGAGCATTTTTACTAATTAATTTTTGCAACAAAATTCAAAATTAACAACCAATATTAAAGAAAAAGACAATAAAATTAGCGAAATGAAATGGAAATCGGCGACACTTATAGTGATTAAGATGATAACACAATGTTGACTGCTGTACCCCTATTTTTGACATGTTTACCTATTGTGTCTGTTTGTTTTGTTCACGCATCATTGTCAATATAATGGAATTTGATGCGACTGTCATACAAGTGAGAGGTTTAGCTAGCTATAAAACCAGGTTCAATCCACCATTTTCTACTTAAGAAAATGCCTGTACCAAGTCAGAAATATGACAGTTGTTATCCATTCTTTTGATGTGTTTGAACTTTTGATTTTGCCATTTGATTGGGGACTTTCCTTTTTGAATTTTCGTCGGAGTTCAGTATTTTTGTGATTTTACTTTATATTCGATTTTAAAACATGGGATACAAAATTTTTCATTTTATTGAATCTTTATCAATTTGAAATAAAGAATCAATTTATTCTTATTTATTCCTATTTTCATTTAAAGTGCAAATTATAATTATAAAATTACGTCGGTCACAGATTTACGAAGAACAGTGCTAGATAAAGCCCGTTCAAACACTCAAGCCCAAGTTCAAACACTCAAACTGGAAATGACGAGATATTTGAGGGTCTGGATTGGGGGTTCTTCATTTCTGCATTCTTTATTTTAATAGGCCATTTTTTTTCTCTATTCTTTATACTTTTGCCAATTATTCTCTATTCTTTATATTGTAGCACCTCATTATTCTCTATTCTTTATTTTTTTGGTCCGTTTTTCTCTGTTCTATATATTTTTTTCCCATTATTCCCTATTATGTTTATCCCCATCCACACTCTCATATATGGTAACCATTGATGAATATCATCTAGTTTCCAATTACTAGGTCAGGGAAGTTGCTATAATATTAGATTTGTATTATCATTTGTAAGTTATTTGCTGACATACACATTTTCAAGCATTCAATGTAAAGTGAAACTATTGCGCTTTTCATACGACAATTTTATCATATAAAGACATCATACCATCAAAACAGACAATCTTTTAAAATCAGACACATTGTAATGAACAGAAAACATTTTAAACTCATATCGTTTACTTGCTTGTCACTTCTTTGTTGATACATTTGTAACATTGTTAAAATCCTATTGAATTTAGAATTTGAAATGATTTAATAAAAATAACACTTTATATAATTTTGTGCGTTCAAATTGCTTGTCTGGATTTACCCCCACACACAGTTGAAACGTTTCATTATAACCCCATGACCTACAATCAGATGGCGCTTCTTAACGGCGATCCTTGAGTGAAGACGATACACATTCCACTATACTTGCAAATCAACCCCAGATAAACAAAGATTGCACAGAATTAGTTTCCAATAAAAAAAACGACGGATATTGACTTATTGAAAAAACGTATTACATTTTCACAGGACGTAACCACCATTTATTATCTGTACAGCTATATTCTCAAAGGGTAGATATTAATTAATCCTAAAAAAAAATAGAACGAGCATCCAACTCTTTCATAGCAAATACATATAGTATGCATTAAATACTAAACAGTTAATTACACTTGTTTTGATCCTTCATCATTGTTCAATCCAGTGATCAACAACAATTATTTAGAGTTATAATAATTTAGAATGAATTTAACTCAAGTTATGCTGCACAGTTTGCAAACAGTTCACGTTTCCATTAAATATATTTATTTATTACTGAAGAGTAGTTAAGAGAAGTAGGTCACTTTATTTGCCGATGATAAAAGGAAACAAAGGTAACAAATATGCTCATCATAGATAAAAGTGAACCAATTTCTATCTTTCATGAAAATAAATATAAAAGAAAATGCTTTTGTATCACTGGAAAATGATAATTTTAAAATGAAAAGGATTTTATATCATTGGAAAAAGTCTATGATTCAGAGAATCAAAACATACACATTCAATTAAACTAGAAAAGACGAGAAATATGGTAAAACTGAATAATAGCACCAAGCATATAATGATATTAATAGGAAAATAATTGCAATTTAATCAGATCTGTATAATAAGCTGTCAGATGATGTATATAGTTTATATATGCATATATTTTATATGTAATTCAAAAAAACGGAAAGTGTGCAAAGTATATCATTTAACATAATCATGGTGTTAACATACGTTCCCATGGCATAAGTTATATTCTTTATATAAATGCGATATTTGTGAAACATAAAAAAAGTCTGTTGTCACGAAAATGGCTAAATGCGGCTGATTTTTTCTCCAAACAGAACTTTTAAGGTTATTTATACATGTACAATGTACTTCAACATATATTTCATTGTTTCTGTTTCCGACAAATACAGAGACATATATATATATATACAAATGTATATGTCTCTGAACAAATATAAGTTTTTCAGGGAAATGTATCTTAGAAGGAGCTATTCATAGCACTCAAAACATAAAATATCTTTGAGCTAGAGCAAGTCTTTGTGCTGGTGGACAGGTCAGATGAATTTGTTTTTTCTTATCTTTCTCATCCGTTATGTGAACTTTGTAGGAGTATGGATCCACTGTAAAAAGTAAAAAATTAAAAATTATAACACATTTCTATTCCAGACCTAGAATTATCTTTTTTGATTGATATAAAAAAAGATTTACTTTTCACTTTTTGACATATAAATACGACTTGATGAACAATATATTTTAATTTATATAAAAACAATATATTGTTTAAAGAATTTGTTCAGACCTTTTTTTGTCATGATATTTTTTCTTTTACAGAGATGGAAGATGCTTTTAAGAATACAACGTGTTTGTGCTGTATTTCTGTCACGTAGTGTTGTCATTTTAGCGATATTTTTTAACATTGCCATATAAGCGGGAGGTTTGGCTAGCCATAAAACCAGGTTCAACCCACCATTTTTTCTTAAAATGTTGTTCCGTTGTTTTCATCTTATAGTTGATGTATTTCCCTCGGTTTTAGTTTGTAACCTGGATTTGTTGTTCTCTCAATCGATTTATGATGACTTTTGAACAGCGGTATACTACTGTTGCCTTTATTACAATATTTAAGAATATCTTCACAACATTTAAAGGACATACAATTAAATTGCTATAAAAACTTTCTTAGTTGTGGTAGTTAAAATTTTAATAACCCATCTAGCTGGATATCTGTCTGGTCATTACAATTATCAGCGCTCTACAGACCAATGTCTATGCCACCAATTGAACCAACAACTAAATTGTAATAGGATATGTACTATAAATGTCCAGGTTTTTATAATAAAAAAAGGGAAAAGGTAAAATCATTGTAGTCGAATTAATTATAAACACACCTTTAGTTGACTTTAATACGTTAATCGTTTAGCCCTTATAAATCGCAATTTTCATGTGATACACTGGGGAGGCAATTATTCGTATAAATTCAAATACATAAAACACACCTGAAATGTTCGGCAAGTAATTATTCAAAACCATGTCCTCCTTAGTAACATTTCTTATATTCTTGACAGCCTCACATCTCTTTTTCAAATCATAACCTTGTACCACTCCTTTTTGAATTGATGCCTACAAATCATATTAAGAATATTATACACATTTTATAAGAGACATATGTTTATGTCGAATAACAGGTGTAATACCCCCAAATCAAAGTACGTCACATCCGGTTCTATACGAAAAATGGTTGAAAATTAGTCCCTTGATTTTGACAGTTGTAGAAAATTAACCCTGCATTTCATTGCTGAAAAAAAATTTTGAGTCATAAACATATATTTTTGGTGTTTCAAAGCACCATTTTTTTTATTTGCTGTTCCTATAAAATATTTTGGAAACTTCAGGTTACATGGTTACTACAGCTTGTTTACAGGAAAAAAAGGGGTGAAAAATTGATTGGTTTAACAAAGACTATCAGGTGATCAATGGTGGTATAACTCCTATCAGATAATACAACACGACATAAAAATAAAAAAGCATAGGAGGGGTTAAAAGGATGAACAAATCTGACAAATTTCTTTAATTAATATCTTATTCCCTGTTTGAATTAGTTGACAGAACAACAGTTGTTTTGTTTAATTGTATACCTCCTCATTGTATAATACTTAAAACCCAAATTCAACAATATACTTTTATTCTGAAAAAAAATTTAAAAAAACAAAACTAAAAGTTACCTATCTATTTTTTTATGATTATTATAACTGCACTGTTTTCGAAATATTTTCAATAGATCTTGTGTTTTAGAGTAGAATGCTTGAACTAACTTTGACCTTGGTTACAACAACAAAAATTCACAAACACAAAACAAGATGCTATTGTACAAATAACACATAGCTGGGAGGGTAATAGAGCAGATTGTTACCCCGAGAAAACATTGTCAACTAAGGCGAAGCCTGTTATTGATACAGATATGTGTTATTATATTTATTATACTGAATGTTCTGTTATTACTGTCTACTAAATTTCAAATTCATAATAATAAACTATGACGTCTTGTACATAACAACCATCCGTATTTAATAAAGCGCACACTTGATCAAGTGTCTCCGTGAAGGGTAATAGAGTATTTGCCATAGGATAGAATAAATTGTCTCCCTCGTATTAACCAATCAAAATCTGGCATTTTGACATGAAGTATAATAATACACTATATTGAGCGAGTTTATTTGATTTTAACTTTATTTATATCAATACTGTTGCAAGTGGACACAACTCCTAATAGTGTTATTCAAACATTCACACTTGCAGCTGAATTGCTATCCATATCTTGTTTTTACTTTAATTTGTCATGATTTCAATGATGTTCACTCTTAAAATGACACTATAATTAAAACTAACATTAAAACAAAATGTAATATACGATATATTTTATTCTTCAATTGAGCTCAAATAGTCATTGATTTGAAAGTAACTATTTACCGCAGATACAAAGGCCACCGAATGTGTTCCAACAGATCTTCCATAAGCACCAAACATTTTTCTCTGTTTAACTGGTTCAGGAGTCGGAATAGATGCATTTGGCATTCCTTTAAAATAAAATTTAGATGTAATAAAAATTCATAAGAAAACATAGGAGGGCGTGACGTTGTGCGTGAAGATGAAACGAACAAAATAGCTTGTATTGTGGATTCCGAAGGCAAAGTAAGAGTAACGGTTCCAAAATAAATACTAAAACAAACAGTCCCAAATAAACTTTTTCATATGTAGATATCTCTCGGTCGTTACTCACCCATTTGAGCCCACGCTATTTGTCCTCCTTTAATGATTATTTCCGGCTTTGCTCCGAAAAATGCTGGATTCCATAAAACAAGGTCTGCCATTTTTCCAACTTCAACTGACCCAATCATATGGCTCATTCCATGAGCAATTGCAGGATTGATTGTGTACTTAGCTACATATCTTTTCACTCTCAAATTGTCATTTTCACCCTTGAATGATAAGCAAAAATAGGAATTCATATTAACAGATCACTCCCTGAAACAAGATACTTTGGATTTATCAACTTTTGTTGACATATTTTTCGTGACCTTTCCGGAGCACCCGAGTTCAAAGGCGAAGCCATGATTTTTGAAGGGGGCTTAATTCCCTAAAGTGGATTATATACCGCCTATTATTTTTTGGACGAATTTATGCTAAGAAATCATATAAATCGTGAATAGCATGATATAATAATTTTTTCGTCAATCAAAGAAGGGATACGCCCTCTACGCCCCATTTTGATATGCCACTCGATTTCCTTTCTGTTTCATATGGCTAGTATTGCTTTTGTTTAAGTTTTGAATTATGGTATATAGTCATATTTCATTTTTCAATGTTTGTGCTATATCTATTGGTAACCGCATTTTTCTTCTTTTCCTATACAACTGTATTATCATTTCAAACTTTAACATTCTGTTTGTATCAAGATTACAGAATTAATCTGGAAATGACTTAAAGAAAAAACAGAGACCTCTTCCAATCAACAATTCTTTTTTAGAGAAAAAACAGAGACCTCTTCCAATCAACAATTCTTTTTTTTTTTCATTCATCAAAAATATTGCACATGCTGTTAATAGATTTCTTCACTGGTACAGCTATTTCAGTGGAGATCCCTGTATATAAGTACCTAAAGACCAGGGTATCTTCAGGTATATATCTTGTGATCCGTTTATTTGGCAATCGCCAATGGCAGTCAGCAGGGTTTAAGAACATTAGCTGTTCGACCTGCTAGTTCAATGCGTTTTGTTAAAATATACTTTTTCACTCATTTGGTCTTTTGGAAAATGTTGTTTGTGCTGTATTTAGACCCCTCTACCAAGAAATTTTTTTTGCATGCACACGTATAAAAATTGCAGTTTTTATCCAACGCAATCATAGGTTTGAACGTTGTTTTCAATTTAAACTTGTTTATAATTTTGTTAGTATATATATCATTTGTCATTAATACAATTAATACATTATTTCTTTATTATTTTACTATTATAACTATAAATATGAACTTTATATCAAAAATAGTATCCCTTAATATATCATTATTAACTATCTGATAGATGTTGAGAGTAAAAAAGAATAACGGGTTATAGTAGCATTTTCGGAATTTGGTTTGTGGTTTAATATGTTTCAATAATCAACAATTCTATGATGCTTTACTAAACATAATTATGTTACATCTTGCTTCAACATAATTAAGTTATATGATAGAGTATGTCAAGTGGAAAGGGAACTGGTTACACTTCCATATACTTGAGTTCCGTATTATTTTTGGTAGAGTTCCTAAGGTTTTTGTTTGGTGTTTTTGGACTTTTGTTTGTCTTAAAAGTCTTTTCGCTTTTGGTCATTGTAGCGTCTATTCTTTTTCGACTTATAACTACACTTTTCGACTTATAGCTTAAACGATAATGAAATATATAAAAACAATTCCAATAATTATGTGAATCAATATGCTGTAAACATTTTGTTTATTTCATAACTAAAAATATTTTTACATAATTTACAATACTTTGGCATACCTTTTCATCTCCCAGCTGACCTCTGAAGAGTTTCATCTTGTCAGCTGTTTGCCAAGTTCTACATATGACTTCTCCTATTCTTCCCATAGCCTAAAAAGAGGAATAACATATGTGCTTAAATTTGTAACACAATAAGCAAAACGACAATTATGTTACCTCTGACAACTCGAACTGTAAGATTTCAAGATCATTTATTTCAAAATTTAATTTTATTAATTCATTCAGATATAAGAAACAAAATCTGTTTTAGGACACATGAAGTAGAAAAGTTGAAAATTTGAGACGTTAATAACAGAGAAATTGCATTATATTCATTCATTTATTTATTCACCTCTATCGTGTATGCACATTTAAGTGTGATAGTACTAATTTCCATAAATTAAAACAATAAAGGCTTTTGTAAGTTATTTATATAAAAGGAAATATAAGATAAGCGTTTATGAGGCATGAACCAAACGAAATTTGCAGGAAAAAAAGAATTATAGAGGTGATGTTTTAAATTTGTAATCCCCTGCATTGTACAAGTTTTAAGAAACGTTTGCAAAATTCATACAGGAAACAAATGCAAGATAACTCATATCTTAACTTTTAAATATACAAAAAAGTTAAATAACAAAAATACCGAACTCCGAGGAATATTAAAAACGGTAAGTCCCTAATCAAATGCAAAATCAAAAGCTCAAACACATCAAACGAATGGATAACAACTGTCATAATCCTGACTCGGAACAGGCATTTTCTTATGTAGAAAATGGTGGATTAAACCTAGTTTTATAGCTACATGTAGCTAAACCTCTCACTTGTATGACAGTCGCATAAAATTCCATTATATTGACAATAATGTGTGAACAAAACAAACAGACATAATAGGTAAAAATGTAAAAAATAGGGGTACAGCAGTCACCATTGTGTTATAATCTTAATCACTATAAAACAAACAAATATGTCAATAAAGAAAAAACAAAAAGGCATGAAATGTAAAACAAGTGATAATCAGAACAGATAATGTAAAATTCCAAACATTCATTAGACTTAAATACACAATGAGAGCTGAGGTCATGACCATTTTAAAATGATAAAGTTATCACACACTAGACAGTGTATGCAGTAGGCAAAAGGAATACCATAGTCTTATAAGCAAATTGTATAATATGGCTCTGATTACAGTGATAACTAAGGAAAACAAACATGACAACACATATTAATAATTGAAAATACTGTCTTTGAACAATCAAACAAAATATTGTAAGATTACATACCGGAAGTATATATCTAAAAGAACATGTTTAAATCTAATTTACATGTAAATTTGTTTCCAAACAGTGTAAAATAATCCATATTGTGCAAAATCATGCAAGTTTGACCTCTCTTTGAATCTGATCCTTATAAAAATCAAGACTGTTTTACATAAAAATCCAGTTACAATACTGGTTTAAAAATCTCAGAAATCATTAATCGTATACTACGACCCCAACTTCATAATCTCATATACCTGTGAATAGCATGCTTATATAGTCAATAAGTAGACACATAATATATCAAATAGATAACGATAACTTCACTGTCTATTACAACAGTGGTTAACAATAGGTAACATTTGATTCCGTAATTAGAATTTGCATATTGTTTAACGCTGTACTGATAAATATTCACTTTCTTTTATCCGTCTAATTTGCATTTTACCACAATTCTTATGCTGATATCATATAACTTACCTGTGAATCTGATGCCATTATGCTGATATCATATAACCAACCTGTGAATCTGATGCCATTATGCTGATATCATATAACCAACCTGTGAATCTGATGCCATTATGCTGATATCATAAAACCAACCTGTGAATCTGATGCAATTATGCTGATATCATATAACCCACCTGTGTATCTGATGGCACTTTGCTGATATCATATAACCAACCTGTGAATCTGATACCATTATGCTGATATCATATAACCAACATGTGAATCTGATACCATTATGCTGATATCATATAACCAACATGTGAATCTGATGCCATTATGCTGATATCATTTAATTAATCTATGAATCTGATGGCACTATGCTGATATCATATAACCCACCTGTGAATCTGATGTCAATTTGCTGATATCATGTAATTAACGTATGAATCTGATGGCACTATGCTGATATAATATTACCCACCTGTGAATCTGATGTCATTATGCTGATATCATATAACCAACCTATGAATTTGATGCCATTATGCTGATATCATATAACCAATCTGTGAATCTGATGCCATTATTCTGATATCATATAACCAACCTGTGAGTCTGATGCCATTATGCTGATATCATATAACTAACCTGTGAATCTGATGCCATTATGGTGATATCCTATAATCAACCTGTGAATCTGATGCCATTATGGTGAAATCATATAATCAACCTGTGAATCTGATGCCATTATGGTCAAATCATATAACCAACCTGTGAATCTGATGCCATTATGCTGAAATCATATTACCAACCTGTGAATCTGATGCCATTATGCTGATTGCACCAACATCATGTAAAATATCTTCTGCAGCGATTGTTTCTGCCCGAATTCTTGACTCGGCAAAGGCAACATCTTCTTTGAGATTCCTAAAAACACAAAAATACAACGTCAATTAAGTTTTACTATCACCATACTTTTATCATTACAACTTGTTGTAAATGAACCGATCTAAAATTTTCTTGTCGATCTTTTTTATTTTCATGATTGAACATTCACCTTCAAATGTCAAATTTGATCACGAAACACATTTGGTGCCTTTTTCTGTATCCTGAAACCTAGAAGTATATTTTAAGACAAAATTAAACCTTGTTTTGTATCCGCTAAAAATCAAATAAAGATAAACAGTCTGCACAATTAACTATACTTCTTTTGTATAATTCAACATATAAGATAACGTGGTCATTCTGAACATTTCAGGCAAATCTAAAAAGTGATGGAACCAAACAATTTTCAAAACTAACATACTTATCTAAATGATGACACACCATCAACATGTCTAAGTGTTCATCAATAGTATTAGCAGTGTATGGTCTAGTAGGATTTGTTGATGATGGAAGCACAGACTTCTCCCCAACGACTTTGATAATGTCTGGAGCATGACCTCCGCCTGCACCTTCTGAATGGTACGTGTGAATACATCTTCCTTTAAATGCTTCAATTGTTTGTTCTACACAAGCCGATTCATTCAGTGTGTCTGTGTGAATTGTAACCTTAAATGCAGAAAAAGAAATACAAGAAGCATGAATAACTAAACCTAAAAGAGGGAAAAGATACTAATCAAAAATACATAAATTAAGGAACCAAAATAAAACGAAAACGACAATTTATAGTTCCCAACACAATTAAAATACTAAAGATTGAGCAGCACGAACTCGACCAACTTCCAAGGGTGAAATAAGGTGTTACATAAAGAAATGTTTCTACTACAAAAGTGGCACCCATCATGTTGATCATTAAAGTTAATAATTCGCTGATAAGTCACATTCTGTTAAATCAATATCGAGGACAAGAGGACAGAATTATAGCTACGATTAGTATAACTAAGTATTCTATGGTCAACTGTGAAACAGATATTCCATAATAGTGAAACCAGTCATGATGGCGTCCGTAAAACTTTCGAATGAGTGACAACAACTTTGTTAGTAGGTTCAAAAGATTCTTTGTAAGCTGCAAACCTCTATTAAGAAAATTGTGAGAGCAAATGCAAATCTTGAATAGTGTTTCAACTGGGGATATGCACTCCATATAAATGCATATAAGGTGCTTGATACTCGTGTTTGTGTTCTTGTTTGTGTGTAGGTGTAGACAGTGAAAACCTGAATAATTTCTGCGTGAACTGCACAGCTAGATTCATTTCTGTCATCCTCCATAATTCATACTTTTATCATTCTTTCTTCACATTTCTAAATGTTTGAAATGGTTTCATGGATAAAAAATAAGGATTTGAAAAATATCAAATTGGAAATATTGCTCACAAACACAATATATAGACAAAAAGTATTTATTACAGCAATAACAGCGTAGGATATTTCACACTTTCAATAATGTTTCAAAGTAGCAATCATTTACATCGAGAATTAAGATAAATAAATCAGTGCCAAAAGTAGTTTGACCATGTTCAAATCTTATTTAAAGATGCAAACCAAGGTAAAACCAGACAACTATGATGCCTCCCGCTGCATGAGAACTGTAGTAGGAGTAAGCATGACAAACCATGCATCCTTTACATATTATTTCACTAAAAATAACAATGTTCAACATTCTGTCATTTGTAGAAATTGTTTTAGAAATCCGACATCCAACCTCTTATATAGTATGAACAACCATTCAGCAAAATATAAAAGTTCTAGCATGAAAACTGAAGGCGGAATTAGCCGTTACCATGTATCCAGCATGTCTATTATTACCAAACAAATGACAAAGCTCAACATTTGAGGAGCATTTTCGGAAAATCAAAATGCTGACAACAGGCACACCTTTACTACATGTACTTACACCCTAGTTAATATAAAAGTTAAAGCTTGAAAACTGTACGAGGAGTCTACCGGACAAACCATGTACCATATGTAGGATGGATGGACACATGGACAGGTGTAAAACAATATGCCAACTGACAGGTGTCGCATTAAACAAACTCTGAGGTAATTACATGAACTCCAAAAGAAGCGAGACAAGATGCGTCGGCAGGGTAAGGGTTTCCTGTAATGTAAGCATCACATTCGAATCCATACTCAGTTAAAATGTCACAATCGGGAAAAGGATTCTATTTAGGTATCTGAAGATCTAAGATCGCTAGTAAGTTGTCACACAGAAACATCACATCCGTCAACCTTAAATCTTAAATTTTATGTAGTGTCGATTTCAGTCGTTTCTTATCATAAATCTGTTGGGTTCCTTTTGAGTCAAGAGCATACCAATGTTAAGGTAGTCCGTATAGTATGAACATGTACTGACGTAACATATTAAATGAGATATGTATACACTAGACGATGGGGGCAGGGTATGTTAACTTACTGCTAATAAATGGGTAGTTGACAATTGGAAAGTTGAATTAATCATGATATTAAAGATTCTAGTATGAAGTCGTCCGTCTGTGTTAATATCGAGGAAAAATCAAGATATTTTAGCAAATGTTCTAGTATCGATAATATCCTTCTACTCAAGTTCAGTACGATATATCAGATGCAAGAGTTTTTCTCCCCGAAGGTATCACCAGCCCAGTAGTCATCACTTCTGTGTTGACATGAATTATCATTAATATGGTTATGATTATAATTTAACTGTTTGCAAAACTTTGAATTTTTGAAATACTGAGGATTTTGTACCTCAGGTATAGATTACCTTAGCTGTATTTGGCAAAACTTCAGGAATTTTGGGTCCTAAATGCTCTTCAAGTTCGTACTTTATTTTGAATTTTGATTTTTTTTATTCAAGCGTCACTGGACACACGGCGTGTGTAAAACAATATGCCAACTGACAGGTATCGCTTTAAATAAACTCTGAGTTAATTGCATGAACTCCAAAAGGAGCGAGACAAGATGCGTCGGCAGGGTAAGGGTCTACTGTTATGTAAGCATCACATTCGAATCCATACTCATTTAAAATGTCACAATCGGGAATAGGATTCTATTTAGGTATCTAAAGATCTAAGATCGCTAGTAAGTTGTCACACAGAAACATCACATCCGTCAACCTTAAATCTTAAATCTTATGTAGTGTCGATTTCAGTCGTTTCTTATCATAAATCTGTTGGGTTCTTTTTGAGTCAAGAGCATACCAATGTTAAGGTAGTCCGTATAGTATGAACATGTACGGGTGTAACATATTAAATGAGATATGTATACACTAGACGATGGGGGCAGGGTATGTTAACTTACTGCTAATAAATGGGTAGTTGACAATTGGAAAGTTGAATTAATCATGATATTAAAGATTCTAGTTTGAAGTCGTTCGTCTGTGTTAATATCGAGGAAAAATCAAGATATTTTAGCAGATGTTCTAGTATCGATAATATCCTTCTATTCAAGTTCAGTACGATATATCAGATGCAAGAGTTTTCTCCTGGAGGGTATCACCAGCCCAGTAGTCATCACTTCTGTGTTGACATGAATTATCATTAATATGGTTATGATTATAATTTACCTGTTTTCAAAACTTTGAATTTTTGAAATACTGAGGATTTTCTACCTCAGGTATAGATTACCTTAGCTGTATTTGGCAAAACTTTAAGGAATTTTGGATCTTAAATGCTTTTCAAGTTCGTACTTTATTTTGAATTTTGATTTTTTTATTCAAGCGTCACTGATGAGTCTTTTGTAGACGAAACGCGCGTCTGGAGTACAAAAATTTAATCCTGGTATCTATGATGAGTTTATTCACTGATGTGGGTTAATTAAGTGATATGACATCTTCAAAATACCCGAAAAAAACTTTGCAAGAGGATTTTGTTTTTGTCTTTGAGAAGGTTCCGTTCTTCTGTATAAATTCTGTTTCAAATAAGTACAGAAACAAGTCGACTAGGAGTGCACAATAAGCACCTATTGGAATACCGACTGCCTGCCGTAAATATATACTAGTATATCAATCAACCTAACACAACAAATATGTTGTCGATGAAAAAGTCCACCATTTATATGATATCATCTTCAGTGTATATGTTGTTTGATTCAGTGTAGTTCTTAACAAAGTAGCACTTTTCATTTAATACCTGAAACAAGGAATTTGTGTCTACGATTCCCATTTTTATAGAAACAGCATTGTTTAACGAGACGATGTATTCGATCTTTTAATTGAGTATGAGGAATACTAGTGTAGAGCGTAGAAAAATCAAAAGTTTTGATATTACTAGTACTCTTATCAATAAATAAGAAATATTAAAATGCTATGATGAAATGAACAGTGATGTGACAGTGAATCAATTTTCGGAACCTCTTTGATGACAAGGACCTCATTGGATCTAAAGGACTCTCAACTTTGCAATGTCTTATTGTCAAGTTTTCTGAAGTTGGAAAGCATCTATCTGAATATTTGACTTCTGAAATTTTACTCACCTGCACATCGTATTTTTCTGCAACATTCAGACAGGTGTCAATGGCGGCTGGAGTAGTCCCCCAATCTTCATGCAACTTCAGTCTACAATGAATACAAATTCAGCATGATGTTTCTATTTTTTCTTTCTAACTGGTTTGTTTCACAATAATTTGTATGATACTCGATTCAACTGATTTTTTTCTTTCAGTCTGAATTAAAAATTGATTATAACTTTAAAGACAATCATCATATGATTCTATTTATATTTTATTAAAAACTACATACCCTATCGCTCCAGCTAAAATCTGTTCACTTAAATCAGCCGCTAGTTCAAACGACCTTGAGGAATTTCCTTTTCCTGTGAATCCAAAGTTCAGAGGAAATGCATCAGTACTTTGCAACATATCCCTAAAAAAAACAATTAAAAATAGTTTTCTCCTCAAGTTTTAAGTTTAGTATGATTAGAGGGAAGTTAGACTGGTAAAATCAAAAATATATATCTGCCCTTCAAAACAACCGGATATCAGATGTAGTGCAAGTTTGTTCTGTTCAAAGCTTTAGATTTTTTAGTATCATCTTATGAAAGGGAGTCGAAAGATACTAAAGGGACATTCAAATTCATTAGTCGAAAATAATCTGACAACGCCATGGCAAACAAAGAAAAAGACAACCAACAGCACACAAAACACATTGAAAACTAAATACTGATCAACACAAACCCCACCAAAATTGGGGGTGATCTCAGGTGCTCCAGAAGGGTAAGCAGATCCTGCTCCACATGTGGCACCCGTCGTGTTGCTCATGCAAGTACAAACCCGGTGATAATTTAATTGGGGACTGGATTGTAGTTACAACAATTGGAACATATCCGTCGTCATCTGTGAAACAGATATTCCATAACGGTCAACCAACTCGTGGTGGCGACCATAAAATTTAAAGAAGGGATGACTTCAACTTCACCACTTGGATCTCTTAGTTTAAAGCTTCCTTGTGAACATCAATCCTCTATCAAGGAAATCATGATAGGAAAAACAAGCTTTGGAATATCGTATCAATTGGGAGATATATACTCCATATGCATGCGCTGCTGGAATGTTGCTACATAGAAATGGAAAGTTCACAGTTGCAAAGCTGAAATAATCTCTTTTGTCGTAAAGTTTTGTTTTCAATTGTCAATTTATAGATGTCAGTCAAGATATGAGGCAGAATTAACAGTGTCTGTTGTATCCTTTATTTCGTGTTCGATGGGATATATGCGTTTAACATAGTCACCAAACTTTAAATTATTTAGTGAGAGGACATTATCTATATAGCGGAAAGTGAAGTTAAAGGATAATTCTTACTTCTTTTCTTTCTTCCTAAGAAGGTCCTGTATGAAGTCAGCCTCATATGAAATAGTTTTTTAACATGTTTATGAATTTTATTTAACACAATTTCGGTGTTGAAGTCCGGTCAATATATACTAGAGCGGTTAATCAGGAGACGATATTATTATTTTATTGAAAGCGACTTCAGTTATATAACGTACATGTACATCCATATACATATGAAAATAATTTTTATTAATTTCGTGCCTTCAATACTCGTCGGTATTAAACTTTTTTCTAATGAATGCAGGCAATCAGAAAAATTATTTGAATTGCATAACGCTTTGTAAATGGGGTATGATCTATTTCATCGTTTTATTAAAACAAATAAAGTCTTCTATCATTATTTTTATTTTAACCCCACACTTACACGGGGTGCATGTTAAATATTCCACATAAAACTCCGTGTGTGACATATTTAATAATAGAATTAATATCAAAAAGGAGAAATATTTGTAAATGCACCCACCTTTATAAGCAACAATTATATATTTTAAAAGAATTTGTAGTAAGTTGGTGTCGGAAATTGAACCTGCGATTGCATAAGTTTTTTTTCAATAAAGCCAAGTCACCTTATATGGTTTGGACCAGGCGAACACGTAGTGGCATTGGTGCCTGTAGCAGGACCTGTCCCGCCTCCAAACATAGTTGTAATGCCTGATGCAATAGCTTCTCGCGCTAGTTGAGGACAAATGAAATGAACGTGGCCATCTAGAGCACCAGCTGTAATAATAAGACCTTCTCCTGCTATTGCTTCTGTTCCTGCTGCAACAACCATTCCCTGAAGAATATAGGATATTGTTTTATACATATTCCATTCGGAACAAAAACAGGGCTATGTTATATGTGAATTTATTTCTAAAACAGTCTAAAATAATCTATGTTGTGCAATAATCATTCTCATTATGATGGGTTATGATTTCAAAATGTTTTCCGTACCATACAATAATAACAATACATATTTGAAGTATCTCATTATCCCAACTTGAAAAGCAATTCCCTTCCCCGTAAGAAAATAACCAAACATTGAGTAATTTGGTTCTGTTATTGTAATGGAATAAAATTATCTATGATGAAAACAAACCTGACAAATTGTAGGTCTCAAATGAGGACAGGCGGGGGCGTGACCTCTGAAATGTTAGTTTCATGGTATTGAAAACCTCAGAAGTTATTAATTGTTATTTTTGTTCCAAGTTACTTACAGGTGTGACACCTTCCATGCAATCTGGATTTCCAGCTTTTCCTATTCCTGCAATTTTACCATCTTTTATACCAATATCTGCTTTGACTACACCAGCAACAGCATCTACCACCAAAGCGTTTGTAATAACTGTGTCAAGTATATCCCAATTCACGTTCATTCTGTTCGAGGCTTGTCCCATACCTTCACGTATTACCTGAGGATATATAGGAGGCCAAAATATTACAACCCAACACTTATTGCTGTTCAACTTCAACTATTTATTTTGTTAACTTCAGTTTTAAGTGAGACAGCATTAAGCAGCATTATTAAAAAGGTAAATCCGTGTTCAATATATGGTCTCCATATGGCCTTATCTTCTTATATATGTTGACTACTTTATATTATGTATAAAATTTATAAATAAAGAACATTTTTACAAATTTAAGGCAGCTGCCTATTAATGGTTGTTTCCTTTTAATGTATCTATTATATATATATCCTAAAATTCAGAATGGAAACGGGGAATGTGTCAAAGAGACAACAACCCGACCAAAGAGCAGAAAACACCCCAAGGCCACCAATGGGTCTTCAACACAGCGAGAAAACATAATAGCCTAGTATTCTTATAAAAAATCACTAACTGTACGATTTTTTTCGCGTAACAGTGTTTTAATAACCTAGTAATTCAGCATGTGATTGTTGAAGAAAAATAAGAAACTTACCTTTCCACCACCAAATTTGATCTCATCTCCATACACAGTAAAATCTTTTTCCACTTCTATGACGAGACTAGTGTCTCCTAATCGCAACTGTTAATGAGAAAATATTGAAGTTCTGACTTGATTTTTTAATTTTTATTCCTTGTTTGAAATATTAATTTTTGCATCAACAAATAATATAAAAGTATCTATTGGTAATAAAATCGCATAATTCTTTTGAGTAAGGTATTACAACAATAATGAAATTCGTGTGTAAATTCGAGAATACTTGGAATGTAGGAAATAAATATCAACATGTAGCATGCATAATCATTCTAACTAAATATATTGTTTCTTTACGTTTCCATTTTGGTTATTCTTTTTAAGTCCCTTTTGGGTCAAATAGCTTGTTAAGTATTAACAAATCCCTAGCTAACATTTTGTTTTTTAGAATTAAGCGTTCCTGATGAAGGTAAATCTAGGAAAGTTTTTTGAAAGCACCAAATTTATAAAGTGCCATTTAAAAAAACCGAAGCCTCGAGTTACAGACTCGAATTTATATGCTGGACCTTTTAGCAACCACGTAGTCAATTACAACATTTCATTTATACAATTATCATGCAAAGCATGAAAGCAGTCTTCATGAAAATATTATAAGATGTTTATTTACCTTGTCTCGTACAGTGGGTCCAAACATCAACGCATATTGTGGTCTTGGAATTATACATTTCTTTAAAGCAGATTTTATTTCCTCCTGTCAAAAAAATAAAATTTTACGCTGCTTATTCAATATATTTATGAAACTCATGTTATGACAGGAATGATTACAATAATGAGGCGAGATACATACCAAGGTGGTAGGGAAAAAACTTATCTAAGAAACTATGCTTATCACCGTAACATATCACAGAAAGAGAAAGCTGAAGGACATTAAGGACATGTACGTAAACAACGTAGTAACAGCGAACAAGATCAATGTAAAATACAAATCCAACGACACACCATTAGGTTCAAAAAAGAGGCGAAAGATACTAAAGTCGAAAATCAAATTTAGTCAACAGTTGTTTACCGATGTCCAAATCACTTACAAATTTACAAACCAAGGCAACAAACGAAAATTATAAACTGAGAGAAAAGCATGAACTCCAAATAAAATAAACCAGTTGCGTCGATAGGGTTAGTGTCTCCTACTATGCATGCATCATTCGACATGCAAATCCACGCGTGGTCAAATATGACAATCTTGAATAGATCACAATCGATAAAAATTACTTTCACGGTATCAAAATTACAGATCAGACGACTTTTCTTGTTTATACGTATCTAAGTCCATTCAAAACATATCGCTGTTGCGTTTAGACACAGGCATATTGTATCTGTCAACCAAATCGGGAAGGTGACCGTAATACTTGCTTAGTGTAAATTTCAATCCGCGTTCTTCCTCATACTTCTGTTGCAGCAGTTTTTGTGTAAGGAGAACACCACTTGTAACGAAGTCCCTATAAGTGTGAATATGCACGAGCGTATCGTAATAATTGAGATATGTAAACGCCATACCATGTGGTAGAGGGTGTGTTCCTACTGAGAAAAGGAAATTGACAATTGGAAAGTTAGAGTCATTACGTTTGTCCAGGATTCTAGTTTGAAATCATCAGTGTGTCAATATCGAGGACAAGATCAAGATATGAAGCAGAACTTCTTCTTTTGGTATTACCCTTTATATCAAATTCACTGGGATATATGAGATGTAAGCACGCACTAAAATGTGAGTTATTGAGTTACAGGACATCACTGATCAATATATCTGAAAGTGTAAAATAATCATAGACCTAAGCAAGATGTTTTCTTCTTGTTTGTCTTCGAGAAGGGTTTGTTATAAATTCTGCTTCATAGAAGAAGAAAAGCAAGTCGGCCAGTAGTGGTGCACAATTAGTACCCATGGGAATACCGACTGTCAAATGAAATATTTTACTTCCAAACTATGTTGTTGATCGAAAAAGTACGGCGATTTGATGATATCATCTTCGGTGTATTTGTTGTTGTTTTTTTCACAAAGTTAAAACCTTAAGAAAGGAATGTGTACCTTCGATTCCCATGTTTGAGACGATGTACTAGTATTCCATCTTTCAATTGAGCTTTTATAAAGGATTTTGTGAGGTTTTGATATCCAGGATAAAGATGTTTAGATATCCAGGATAAAGATGTTTAGATATCCAGGATAAAGATGTTTATCGTCCTGCTTATGTCAATACCAAAGGAGAGAAACACAGGTGTGTGATTTTCTAAAATTTCCTCTAAAATTTCCTCTTTCGCGAATCCTTTCCGGGTATATGTTAGATTTCCAGTATTACTGTGAATTCCAAGTAGTTTAGTATAGACATACCAAATAATGACTTTTGCATACAAAAACAATACTGTTAGAAGAATTTACTGATGGAACAACAAAATGGTTGTTGTGAAGAGAATAAAGCATCAACAACCGCGGGCTACTTGAAAGCGTTAGAAACTAGTGTGCTCATTGTACGTCTTTGATTTGAGCGCTTCAGAACTCGTTAGTTGAAGAGAAATCTATTAAACCATGGGGAAAAAAACAGATAAAAAAACCAAACAAACAAACAAAAGTCTACAAAACACTACATAGAAAACTAAAGACTGAGAAACAAAACCCCACTAAAAATAGGGATAATCTCATGTGCTCCGACACTCATGGTAAACTATGCAACAATATGACAAATATTTTAGTGTAAAAAACACATGTTTCTGAATTGAAAGTATGCTCGGCAGAGACCAGCGTTTAAAAAGCTATTTGCTAAAAATACTTACAATCAAAACAATTCAAAACTGATCTTATGCTGAATAATTCTTTTAAGGTCATTTTTTTAAAGATAAACAATTGTAGTATTTTTACAATTACATTATTCATTAATACCAGAAATGAAAAAAAAATATTCAAAACGGACCCGTATTGAAACATCAGGACAGCATTACGTTTGATATTGCCCTTAAACATTACCCAAACCTTCAAACGTTGTATTGCCGACCACGGCGGATGTTGATGCATTAAAGAAAAAACAAAAGAAAAAGATACTTACTTGTTTTTTGTTTCCAAATTTCCTACTTTCTACCGTTTCCATCACCTTAACTAAAGCTCTGTCATCAACTGGACCATCACATAGGAAGTTGCCTCCTCTTATAATTCTATTAAAGCAATAGAAAATTGTTATCAAAATGACTTTTTCTTTCGCGTTTTTTATCCTAAACATAAGTGAGAGAAGCATCATGTTGACAAGAATGAGTACAAAAAGAAAATGTGATCACAGTATTGTTAACGTGACATAGGGACGTGCTGTGCAGAGCAACACGACGGGTGCCACATGTGGAGCAGGATATGTTTACCCTTCCAGAGCACCTGAGATCATCCCCGGCTTTTTGTGGGGTTCGTGTTGATCAGTCTTTAGTTTTTTATGTGTTTTGTGTATTGTTGTTTGTTTATTGGTCTTATTCTTTTTTTGCCATGGTGTGGTTAGTAAATTTTCGACTTCAAGAGCTTGAATGTCCCTTTGGTATCTTTTGCCTCTCTTTTCCTTTATTACACAATTTTTCGCGTTCACTCATTTTAATTCTTTATCTAACTGAGTTATTAGAAATTTATGAAATTCCAGGTTTTCATTTTCTACATACTTTTGTCTATTATTTGGTGTTTTATTCCAGGTCTTCATTTTCTACATACTTTTGTCTATTGTTTGGTGTTTTATTCCAAGTCTTCATTTTCTACATACTTTTGTCTATTATTCGGTGTTTTATTTTTTTTATAATGAATTTCTTTTTATTTGCAAATGAACATAATAGTAAGTTATACACATTTTATGCACAATATAATATATAGACAGAAGATATACAACATATTTTAAATTAATAGACACAGCTAAAATAGTTTAATACATTGCAGAATATGATTGAAAGACAGAGGCTGCTTGGACAAAGAATACATATTTTTAATTTATACAACATATGGTGTCTGTTGTTTATCTTTGTTTTTATGACCATAAAGGAGTCCAGGGGTTCCAGCAGTTCTCTGCCCTCCCCAGACTTAATTTTTTTATATATATATATATTTTTATAAAATATATTTTTTTCTATTAATAAGTTTTCTTTTAAATAATTTTTTAGTGCTATTATATTGGTTTGTTCCAATGATAATTTGCTTCTATAAATATGGAATTTTGATAACAGAATTATTAAATTTCTTATATCATTTTTATCGGTTTTCGTTAGAATACCAAATAAAACCAAATCTATGTTTAAAGTTAGTTCTATTTCTATCTTCTCAAATATCCAGGAATTAAGGTCCTCCCATAATTTTGATATATACCGACAAGTCCAGAATATATGTTCTATTGTTTCTACCTCTCCACACCCAAAACTACACTTATTTGTATCATTCACTTTTATTTTAAAGAGAAGTTCATTCGTGCCTAAAATTCGATGTATTATTCTGTATTGAAACCACTGCAATTTAGAATTCTTGGTAATATAAAAGGGCAATTTATAGATATTTTTCCAATTGTAGTTTGTATTGAGAATTAAAGACCATTTTTGTTAACACTTCTGTTAAAGGTTTGACTTTTTACTATTTAAAATATTATACATATCTTTTGAACCTCTCGGGGATTTCAAAAAATATTTTAATAACAGAGGGCAGAATGGGACCATTTTCTCTCACTAAGTCATTGGGACATATATTATATTCTTTAAAATACTTTTTTATTGCAGATATTAAGACTTGATATGTAAGGAAATTAGTTTTGATATTGTATACATTTTTAAAGGTATCAAAAGTCATGAAATTTCCACATTCATCTAACAAGCCATTAATCAGCCAAATCCCTTTTTTAGTCCATTCTTGATATAAAACTGATTGATTACTAATCTTTATTTCATCATTCTTCCATATATTGCATGTGTTAATTTGAGATTTATCTTAAATATTTTGAAGATCATTCCAAGCATCTAATACTTCTTTCCAAAATGGATTTTTCAGCTTTTTATATGGGCCCAGAAATTGCATTTCCAAAAAATTCAAATTTTCTGAAAAGAGGAATAGTTTCACAAGTTTTGAATTGTTTCTATTAGTTCTTCTTATCCAGGTCAATTTTAAACCTTTTATGTAGTTTTCAATATTTATCATTTTTAGACCTCCTGAACAGTGTGGTTTGGATAAAGTTTCTCTTTTAACTTTATCTGGTTTGTTATCCCAGATAAAGGAGAATATTTTGTCAGTAAAATGTTTAAGCTTTGTACTATTTGGACTCGATATGGATAGGAATAAATGGTTTAATTTTGATATTATAAGTGTTTTTATCACTGTTATTTTTCCAATTGGGGAGAGTATTTGGTTTGTCCAAGTTTTTATAGTATTTTCGATTTCTTTCATCCTGGGGTCATAGTTTAAATTTTCAATTTCATTAAGATCCACGGAGAAATTTATCCCAAGAAGTTTAAATCTGCTGGAACCCCATTCTAATAACCCACTAAACACACATAGTTTCTTGGCTAAACTTTTTCTTCCCAATCCAAACAACCTTTGTCTTGTCTAAATTTATATTAAGGCCTGATAAATCTGCATATTTATCTAGAGTACGGAGAGATGCATCCAAAGATTCTGGTGATCCATCAAGTATAAGAGAAGTATCATCTGCATATTGTGAGATGATATACTCTGAGTCATCTATAGTAATTCCTTTAATTTGGTCATTGTTTCGTATAAGTATACCAAGTATCTCTGCACACAGTAAAAATATATAGAGTGACAGGGGATCCCCTTGTCGACAGCCTCTCTGAATCTCAAAACATTCTTAGAGATGGCAATTTTGAGTTACTGCAGATTGAATTTTAGTATAAAATGTAACGATCCAATGTTTAAAAGATGGTCCAAAATTGAAGAGGTCCAATACGCTTTTTAATAAAACTCCCAAGAAAATGAGTCAAACGCCTTTTCAAAATCAATAAGGAGGAGAATACCAGGTATGTCATTTTCTTCTGTATACAATAAAATATCATAAATTAATATAGAAAAGTATTGGTTATAGAATTATTACATCACACAGATGTTTTATAACAATTCAATGGTTGTGATTGGCAGACAAAAATCACGGTTTAGTTTAAAGTGTAATTTTCTCCAAATAAAACATAGTTATAAGAATTGTTTGCTTCTTTTTTGTACTTTAATAGGATTGAAAATGCATTAGCCAGGCGCACATGTTTAGAATGAAGCTTCCGCGCTTATAGATAACAATCGAAAAAGAATCATTCAGTTCTTGAATTAAAAAAAAAGAAATGATGACCGTGAAAGATATCCACAGTTATCAGTTGCCATAAACAGTTGATCTCTAGGGTTTATTGTCTGTGCATGAAAAAATAAACAAGAGAAACCACAAAACAATAATGATGAAATACATAAAAAGTTATCGCGATATCAGTTACCGCTATAGGACCACACAAATCTAACAAAAAAGATACGTTTTGAATACTAGTAAATAAATTAATTGATGTATGTACTTATTTCCGCTTATTTCAACAAGGTCTACTGCTTTTGTTTCTCCGGGTTCAAATCTGATTGCTGTTCCTGCAGGAATATTCTGTAAAACACCAATACAAATGAAATTTTCTTCTCAAAACAGAAAATGATTAATAAGTTGAATTTTAGAAATAAAGGAAACATGTTTGCCATTTGTGAATTTTTAACCAAACAAAATTGATAAACACTTAATTTAATCTACAAATAAAGAATTTTTTATTATTATTATTATTATAGTTTTTATTGAAAAATCACAACGTTTGCGAAACATCTTTTTGTCTAAGATTTTCTACGAAAATATGTCTATAGGTATATGCTATTAATTCCAGCGTTGATTCCAAGTGTCAAAGCTGTTTGCCTTATACATCTTTAGATCTAACACGAGCGACGAACAAATTTAACTGAGCATATTGAACATTCTGATTTAAATTAGATTTAATTAAAAAATAAATTGTTCGGTAAACTCTGAAAGGAACGAGAAATGATTCGTCGACAGGGTAAGCATCTCCTGCTATGAGACAGGATTCATCGACAGGGTAAGCATCTCCGACTATAACACAGGATTCGTCAACAGGGTAAGCATCTCCGGCTATGAGACAGGATGATTCGCCAACAGGGTAAGCATCTCCTGCTATGAGACATGATTCGTAGACAGGTCGAAAGGGTAAGCATCTCCTGCTTTGAGACATGATTCGTCGACAGGGTAAGCATCTCCTGCTGAGACAGGATTCGTCGACAGGGTAAGCATCCCGGCTATGAGACATGATTCGTCGACAGGGTAAGCGTCTCCGGCTATGAGACAGGATTCGTCGACAGGGTAAGCGTCTCCGGCTATGAGACAGGATTTGTCATCTGCCAATTTATTATGTACATTCAGAAATCACGTTAACTGCGTTTTAATTATGACTTTTCTTTCAATAAGCCTTTTCAGAGATATTAAAAAGAAAAGTTCTGAATGCAAAAAAAATGTTTGAATACGTTCGCATATGATAAAAAGTGAATTAGAATAAATTAATCGCCAAATCTGTCTCATACACTTCTTATCATATGCGAACGTATTCAAACATTTTTTTGCATTTAGAACTTTTCTTTTTGATATCTCTGAAAAGGCTTATTGAAAGAAAAGTCCTAATTAAAACGCAGTAAATGTGATTTCTGAATGTGCAAAATAAATTGGCTATTCAATGCGGCTCTAACTGCAATCCATGAACCATAGATTCAGCTTGCACTCATTAATGTATGTGAGGCAAGGTAAAGCAAAGGTATGGCCATTATGTAATCTAAGTGGGCTAAGACCGTTGGTTTTCCCGTTTGAACGGTTTTACACTAGTTATTTTTTGGGGCTCTTAATAGCTTGCTGTTCGATGTGAGCCAAGGCTCCGTGTTGAAGACCGTACTTTGACCTATAATGGTTTACTTTTATAAATTGTGACTTGGATGGAGAGTTGTCTCATTGGCCCTCATACCACATCTTCTTATATCTATAAATAAAAAAGAGTCGATAGAACGAACCATGATGTGATCAACAATTATGGATTTACAGATAGTAAGCATGAACCTCAAGATATGTATTAATTTATTGATGACCTCAATTTAGACAAGACAATGTAACTTCATCAGCAAATTCCGGATTGTGCCGATCCCCCAAAATCCTAGAGGAGAATCTCCAAAGTCATGAACAGTTCAAAATATATACTTTACGATAGTTTCAGTTGTAAGATTCTTTCTACAAACACCTACTGATCATTCGTAAGTGATGCTTAGTAGGTTATACAAGCGTAATGTCATCAACGTCATTAGTATCTTTTCTCAATAGCAATTTTCAAGAATGAATAAAAGGATAAGAGGGGTACGTCGATGAGACCGTAATAGTTTGTTTAAACTCACCAGTCTCATACCATATGATGCTTTTCTGTCAAACTGTAGATATTTGTTTGTCTCGATAAAATGATAATGACTCCCAACCTGAAAAATATATCTTAAAATGTTTATTACTATACTGTTTTGTGAGTTTTATTTATGATGCTACAAGAACTTAAATAAAATACCTGAGAATAATTTTAATATTTATTTTGTAGAAATCTATTCAATCTAAATTGTCAAATTTCGGAGACGTTAAAACTGAAATATGAGTTTAATCTATTTTTTTGTAAAAGAGACATTGAAATTTAAATCAATGTTTTATATATTTAGAAATATAATGTATATGAGAGACATGCTTTTTTATTATTATTAAAGTTACATATTACATCTTCAATGACAATTTGTCTGACATTTATACTATTAAAACGAATAAATAATTTGCGATGTACGATTGTTTTCCTGTTTATCATTCTAATCATATACATTATTCTGAAAACAAATTCTTTATGACCATTTTTATATTAAATTATACAAAATTCGTAAAAGATATACAATAAAAATCTAGTGTTACATGTATTAAGTTTAATCTCAGGTGTTAAGTAAAATAGGCAACTAATATGCTTATATTAACTTTGAAATAGGTAGACATCTTCCATAAAGAGTATGTTCAAAATTGCCATCTTTGATAAAAAAAAAATGTGGGTAAGGATGGAGCAGATGTTATCAAACACTTAGGTCATTTGATTGTGATCTAATCATTAACCCCGAAAGACTTTTTTTGTAACAACCCTATCTTTAAAATATAGTGAATAGCTATTAAAAAGTTGATGTATTTGAAAATAAAAGAAAATGTTTATCAAATTATACAAATCGTTCTTATTTTCTAGTTTTCAACATTATTTTATGTAAAAAAAATATCAAATTCATTTTTTATATAATTAGAATTTCAAACATTTTTGTAATTACATAAAAACGCATTTCTGACCGGTGCCATATCAGTACTGCGGTCGAAAAGTTAATACTGGTCAATGCCCTAAAGTTTAAATTGACAGAGAGTAAAGCATATAACAAATTTGATTTTAGATAAGAAATTTAACATCTGTGATCACTGTGTGACCCCCTATAACGTGCTATCAGTGTTGCAGATGCAATAAATAGCACAGATAAAAATCTGCTATACACGAGAGCGTACAACAAAATCAATTGTATTTCAATGGTAATTGGATTTACAGACAAAATACTTATGTTGTACACGATAGCAAAAACAATTGTTTAGAATGACAATTGATAGCACAGATCCTATTGTATCTCTTGTAGTGTTAGCCGGTAACTGGGTGTGTTGATTTTAAATACTGGAGATTACTGATAAATAATATGATACCTGAATGGGTCTGTCGCAAAGGCTGTTCACATTTAATGATATTATACCTGAATGGGTCTGTCACAAAGGCTGGTAACACTTAGTGATATTGTCTTACGTCCTTTGTTAAGTTCAATATCACCGCTGATAGGTATTAACTCTCCTGGCTTGACATCCAATTGAGCATCGCATACTCCCTCCTGCAAAAGTGTTTATTTTATAATGAATTCAAACTGTCAAACCTTAAACGGATTCTAGAACTAGTATACATTATTGTAAAGGGGCCAGCTGAAGCCCGCCTTCCAGGTACGGGATTTTCTCGCTACACTGATGTCCTATTGGTGGCTTTGGGCTTTTTTCTACTCTTTAGTCGAGTTGTCGTATCTTTGACATGTTCTCCGTTTCCATTTTCTATTCTACATGTATCATATGAAGTTAATTATGCAAGACTGTAGCGTAATGAGGCAAATGCCTCACTTTCGAAACTACGATCATACTTGAGAAACATATATTTTCTGCGAAATTTGGTATTTTAAATTATTAATATGCGAGATTCAAGCAAAACTTCATTAATATTAATCACAGTGCTTTTTCGTTCGGCATCAACGATTGGTATTTACCCACACCGGTCACCGGTAAACATTGTGTTTCGAATACCGTTCCTGTGGAAAACAAATCATATATAACTTGCTAAAGAAGGATTCATTGAAGAGAAACATTGAAGACGCTTTACATTAACAACTTGCTCTCATTAAAGAGGTGTACAATACGTGAACTGATTAGTTGTTTTAAAAACGTTGACATACATTTGACGAATTCGTTGTGTGAAATAAAGACATTAAAGAATTCTTTTTGTTCGGCAGTTTGAAAATTATTCTTTAAAACCAAAATAACTGAACAGCATCTGCTAAAGGACATGAAGTTGTGCACTTGCTATTGTAACTTTTGATCGGAGTGATTTTTATGGTTACCATACCATAACCAAATGCATGGGCTGTGCCAGTCCTCCAAAAAATGAGAAGGCAGGCGACATACATGCTCCTTGGAAGACTCACATATTTTTTCCAGAAAATTCAATCATTTCTAAATTAATTAATTAGACAATTGCTAATTTATTCTTGCAAACCACATACTGGTTGTAATTAATACACATTTAGTTCAAAGAATTTAGATCACATTGACCAGAAGGTTTTTAAAATTAATAGAAAGTCATTGCCCCAACGCTATAGAATACCAATCAGTCTCTGCGAATTCTTTCATACATGTATCTCTGGCCCTTTTAGAACTCAAATGCATATTCATGCATCAACAGTTTCGATAAAATCTCATTCTTGCATTTTACATTCATCAAGGTTGCCTAAGAAATTCGAATTTCCAGAATTAACTGAGATTATTTAAAAGATTTATCTGATTCAGTATGTTTCATAACTTTATTTTCTTGTAAGATGGATAAAAAATTCGTAAGGGTTCCGCGGAACCCAGTGTCTCGCCTACTTTTGCTGTTAATCGCAGGCTCAACAAAAATGAGGAAAAAAAATAATAACAATATTACTTTCGATACAATCTTTTGATTGTAAGAAGCTTCTGTCCCAATTTGGTAAAAATCCAGGATAGTTTATGAATCTAATAAATGTTTTAAATCTTTAACTGCAGACTGTATGTAATGTTAACTGGAAGAAAAACTAAGTCCATTTATAAGTAAAATACTGATAAACAGGTACAAAATTTTTAAAAATTTCCTTCAAGATTTTTTGATCATAAACAAGCTTCTAACCAAGTTTGGTACAAATCCAGGATAGTTTAAGAAAGTTATTAAAATTTTAAAAACTTTAACCACAGAGTGAATGTAATGTTAACTGGCAGAAAAACTAAGTCCATTTATAAGTTAAATACGGAAAAAATGGAATTTTGTTTTTTACAAATTTACTTCTAGATACTATCTTATGATCATAAACAAGCTTCTGTCCAAGTTTGGTAGAAATCGAGGATATAGTTTAAGAAAGTTATTAAAATTTTAAAAACTTTAACCACAGAGTGAATGTCATGTTAACTGGCAGAAAAACTAAGTCCATTTATAAGTAAAATACGGAAAAACAGGATTTTGTTTTTTACAAAATTTAATTCTGGATACTATCTTATGATCATAAACAAGCTTCTGTCCAAGTTTGGTAGAAATCCAGGATAGTTTAAGAAAGTTATTAAAATTTTAAAAACTTTAACCACAGAGTGAATGTAATGTTTCCTGGCAGAAAAACTAAGTCCATTTATAAGTAAAATACGGAAAAACTGGATTTTTTTGTTTACAAAATTTAATTCTGGATACTATCTTATGATCATAAACAAGCTTCTGTCCAAGTTTGGTAGAAATCCAGGATAGTTTAAGAAAGTTATTAAAATTTCAAAAACTTTAACCACAGAGTGAATATTTGTGGACGCCGCCGACGCCGACGGAATGTAGGATCGCTATGTCTCGCTTTTTCGACAAAAGTCGAAGGCTCGACAAAAACTGGATACAATTGATTAGTCACAAGTGAAATAAATATATTACCCATGTGAGATGTAGGAAGTCTTCAAGAAACAATTACTCTTGCTGACAGAGACTTATATACAACGTTTTTACTGTATTAAAACTTCTTTTTTCTCTGTTGTTGACCAACTCTCTTGTGAGAAATCTTATTATGTTTAAGGCGTCTAAAAACCTTTTAATGAAATGCAATGGCTGGTGATTGACTTTGTAGGCTTGCTATGCTCCAATGTCCATAGAAATTAGTACGAAATATGAAATTGATATGGAAACGAGCATTTGAAATTTTATAGTTCTAGCTACCGTGCAATCGGGAGGTTTTTGAATGAATAGATATTAATTTCCAGACTGACACTTGACAGTTGGTTATAACTACTGGTATTGTTGAAACTAAGAGTTAGAAATAAAAGCATAATTTCTGTTGTTTCATGTTATTTTTTGTTATAAATGCTCCAACCATTTCCTTAGTGTCCTGTCAGGAAAAAGCAAGTTAACAGTTCAATATAACAAAAAATGTTCGTCCCCCTGGGGCCACATCCCCAAGACCCACTTTGCCTCAATTCCTTTAGGGGTGCGCTACGACCGTGAATGTGAAGCTAAAGTAAATAAATATTTCCACTTCGTATGTATATTGATGTCTAAAGAGACATTCAAATGGACTGGGCTATCAAGAATATGACAGGAATTTATGTTTAAATGTGTACGGCATCATCAAGTGACACCAGCGCCCGGCACGTTATCCGCATTATGTTGATGGTGTGCTGAATTGCTTTTAAAATGAGAAAGAAGGGATAAGATGGAAATGTATTTGGATATAAATCAGAGTGTAAATGTTTCCATGTTTCTACAAAATGCGCAGTGAATCCCGAGTAACCACAGTTTTAATGACTTCGATTTAGTTTCAGAATAAAGAATCATTGACTTAAATCAAATTTCAAGCAATCAGCTAGTATATGAATAGGTTTTAGAAATTGTAACTATATGCGTGGGCAGGGTTCTAATCCGCATATCCGTTCTGACACAAATAACCCTATTCTGAAAGTGGGGTATGCATATTTCTATTATCCGCTAAACTATAAAGAATGATGTATTAGGGTGGTTGGTTTTGCCTATAACGTCCATCCCATGGTAAGATTATAGTACCACTTATAAAATGAATACAATTATTATACCTCAGTTGTCATTTTCTATATAAAATAAGTACACAATATTTTGACAATATTTTTAAATTGCAAGCGTTTAACTATTCGACCGGTCAATAGTTTCTAACTATTGCACCTCGGTGAAACTATTTGACCGCGAGCGTCATTATATTTTGCGGAATTTCAAATGCAGCCACGGGATTGGAGGATGTCGAGAATACCGCGGGAATTACGACGTCGCGTTTTATCTATTGTATCTAGGGTTGACGTCAATGCAGTACGTAGACTTATAGCATTCAGAATATATATGAAGTAAACGTTAAACAGTATGGTTGTGTTTCTGCTTTTTATATTACGATAGTTGATTTAGCCCCGAAATGTATTGTCTGTTGTCTCTTTCGGTATAATAAAACACTTACTGACTGGATATTCGTGGAATAGTAAGTTTATTGTCCCCTTGGGTACAACTATTGCCCTCGGCTACGCCTCAGGGCAATAGTTGCACCTCGGGGGACAATTAACTTTCTATTCCACTCATACCCAGTCAGTAAGTATAAACTATCCACCAGAGACCAAATGATGTAGATGTAAGCAACTGTACACCCTTCAACAATAAGCAAAACAAATAACGTATAGTTATCTATAAAAGGCTTTGATATGACAAAATGTTAACAATTAAAACGAAAATACCAACGGCTGATTTATGAACAAAACAATAAACGAAAAAACAAATATGATAAAATTTATTTTGAAATAGTTCGTTTATTTATAAACAAGGTCGACTCTCACTCTCTGTCAAACTGTATAGTTAAGGATGTACGTACAGTGAAAGGTCGAGTTTAAACATCTGATTCAATAATCTTCGTAAAAATTAAATTCATTTCTTCCAATTCCGATAAAATGCACTATAAATTATGTCGGATAACAGTTACAATATTATTTCGTCTGTTAGGGATGTCTCGTTACACTATGAAACGAACTTGTACACTATATACTTTTTGGTTTTTATAATGCTTACCAATGAAATACGACTTAACATATTCATAGAAAATAAGTTTGTAAAAACCAAACGTTTACCTACAAAACAGTTCTTTCGGCTAAAATGTAAAGTGGGTCTCATTGGGGATTAAGCGTTACGCGATATCGACCGATTTTTCTTAAGCGTGACACGTGAAAGTCAAATTATTTTGCGTGAAAACGGGAAATGAAGTCGGGAGGGACACGTGAAATTACAAGCGCTATTATTGCAAAGATAAGCGGAATACGGGATTCTGACAAAACAATATGCGGGATCCGGGATCATAACCCCCCCAATGAGACCCCCTGTAAAGGCAGCTGCACTACAATATTCATTATACTTGCATTTATTCTAATATTTATAATAAAGGGGAAATTGCATGAAATTCAGACTGTTTAATTAGAACATGTATTACATCACTGATTCTACTAGGTTTATCGCCATCAAGATTTTGAATCTGTAATTGAAACGAATACAGAACCTCTATTTGATATCTAACATGGACAGGAGATTCTAATTGTCTATATTCATTTGATTAAACTTTGAACCAAAATTTAGGAGATTCTAATTCCGAAGTCGGTATTGATTAAACTTTGAATCAAAATTCATGAGATTATAATTACGCGGTCTATATTGATTCAATTTTTTAATCATATTTTTGTGCGACTACAATAAAACATGTCATGCTCAGAAACTTTTCAAATCCAAAAGAACTAGGCTTTAATTAGAAACAGCTGTCTGCTGACAAGTATGTCACGGAAAAACAAAATATTAAGAAATATTTAATTCCCTTGCCTGAATTGGATGTCCTTTGGCCTCATTGAATTTTTCTAGCTTGGGAATAGGTAGAAAGCTTCCATAAAGAGCAATTTCAAGATCGCCATCTTTTCGACATATTGGTTTGTGAACTGTCACCTATAAAATAAAAGTACTGCATGAAAACATTTAGATGTTTATATTATATATAAGTAAGCAAATTTAAAACTATGAATTGAAAACCCCAAAAAGGATGTATATCTATATATTGATGTAACATTTATTTTTATTTTTTATTTACATTAGCGTACTAAGATAATTATATGTTATTCTAATGTGACATTTCCTTTTCAATACAATACAATAATAATTTATTAACGTCTCACCATCAATAATATACACATTTCACAATGTAAAAGTAAACTTTTCAAAATTATTAATGCCATTCTAAACAGAATTATGAGAGACGGATTAAGAAGGAACTAGTATATTTACACATTCTCAAAAAGATAATTATAAAAAAAGTTAGATCATAAAACATATCTACATCTATTATCGGTATAATAAAAGTCTTCCGCTACGGTCTAAAACAAGGTTGCAGGTTTTGGCTCATTTTTGTATCACATTAATATTGTCACTGGCTAAAATAAATGAAAGTTTCACGGAAGTTGCAGATTTTGATTACTAATTAAGTACGTGTCAATTAATAATTACGAGTTTAGTCCCATCCGGAAATGTTCCTTCTACTTGTACTTCATGAATCATGTCGGCAACACCGGGCATCACTTGGTTAAACCCTTCCGAAAATAATTAATGCATGATCAAGATTACATTTACACTGTACATATATACAATAAAAATGTAGAATACAAAATCGACAAATAAAAGGTGCTAGAAGTTAGAAATTGAAAAATCCAGAGGGCAAGAAACCAGACCAGGACAATAAAAAATATCAAAGCAACAGTTACATGACACTAACAAATAAATCTTTGCAAAAATGGACTCTTTTTCTCTCAGTTTCTACCAATCTTTCGTAAAATTATGATTAATTAAAGCCGATTATTCGCAGGGCGTCCACTAAGAAATTTGATTTGTAATTTACAAACAAAACCCAAAAAACATATGTACATTGAAAAATAATTTATGATACAACTATAAAAGTTTGATAGAAGTGAAGAGTAGAAAATATGGTGTAGACTTTGGTATACTGCTTTAAATATTGGAGTAACGCAAGCTCCCTGCTCAGATTGATTAAATCAATCAATTTAACCAGTAAATCGTCAGAGTTACCGATATAATCGATAAGATGGAAAGGTATCATATAAAGTGTAAAATGAGTGTTCAAGGTCTTTTTTGTTTCCATAAAGTAAGAAAATATTCTTCCCACGGAGTCTAGAATAGCACAAACACAACCTTATCAGAAGGTAAATCTAACTGTCAAAACGCTCTTTGAAAAACTCAAAACTAAGACCGTTCCAAGACCACAAAAGACCAACACACAATGCATAACAAAGACATATGATTATATAAACAACAGACATCACTTAAAGTCTAAGCAATTAAAACTAAAAAAAGACCGGGTGTATTACCAGGTTCACTTGAATGGTTCTGTCCTCGTGCGATTTCATTTCTATTCCAATAAATATGTGCACTAGTATGCTCAATATCAACAGAGAGACCAGGTAGGGGCAAGACGAAATCAAAATGTAACATGTCGGTCAAAAATTTATACCTTTTGGAAGAAAAAAAACCCTTTATTTTGATAAATGCAATTTTACTAAGTAGAAAGCAGGTGAATAGTGTTTCCGATGTTATGATACGATGTTTACAGAAGTTATAAGCTTTATTTGCATGGAACAACCAGGTCTTTTAGTACTTATAAGACAAATAATGGACAGGATGTCTCAAATGATAAATATAAGACCTTATAAAGTAAATATTGCGAAAAATGAATGACGATGTTTGCAAGGGTTCAATTGAATCTTCTGGAATGAAGCTAAATACAGTCAACTGATTGAACAAACAATCTATTGCCTCAGAGGATCTGTAAACATAGAATTGCCAGATTATTTGTTTACGCATTTAGCTTATACTTCTGAAGGAATGGGAACATACCAATCATCTCTCTTCCTTTTGACATCAGTTCTGAAACTGTATATCCCTCCCTGATCAGCTCTTGTATCTGTAATTTTTTAAGAAGATTGTAAAATTAAATGGGAGAGAAGTGACTGATTTTTTAGAATCTTAATAAGAATATTTGATTGAAGTAAGAAAACATATAATATATATATAAGCACACAATCAACCCTACTTTCACAAATGTAATAGCACTATGTACGTGTTGCTGTTGAAAATAACGTCTTCGTCATAATAAAAAGTATCACAAAATTAAAACGAAAGCGAATAAAGGCATCATATATATATATAGGTGTGTAAGAAAGAAATAAAGACAGCTGAAAAGTGAAAACTAAGAGAAGTTGCGGATAAAAGACGCCCAAAAGTAATTAAAAGAAAATGTTTATATAATAGAATCATCAAAAATATTACAAAAGAGTGAGATTATTTTTTATTGAATTCGACAAACAAATAATTTTTATATACAAAATTAATGTTACTTTGTACATCTTTCGGACATTATCAAAGAGTCTTGGATGATACATGTAGATTGATTTTCATAACGGAGTGTGTGTGGTATATGAATTATACCTGATAATAAGCAAAATACAGTATAAAGTCAGGAGTGTTTAGAAATATGTGTCTCCTGTTATCTAGAAGATACTCTGATACAAACATTGTTCTAATCCCTGACCTAATAGTTTGTTAAAGCGGTATTAGCTACGATTTTGACAATATAAGTTGAAAAAAAAATATTGGTTTTTTTTTCTCTTTTAATCATTTGCAAGAATATCGGATAATATTTATCTATTAGATGTAATTTTGGTTCAAATTTGTAGAAAAAAGCTCAATTTTTTTGCTGATGCCTTAATGTCATGCGAGACAATAATTCGACCTCATTTGTAGTCGAGTGCATGCTTGAAACTGAAAATTTTAAATTTAAACTCTCAGTCATATTTAGAATTAACACCATGAAATACACACGGTGGAAAAAAATACACCGATGGTTATTCAGGAGTAGTACAATACTTCTGCAGCAAAAACTCAACCCTAGCATTATGATAAAAACAATTTCCTATTTTCTGCAATAGCATTACATGCACTCTGCTTTATAAGAAAAACTTTATCAATGTATCTTCAACATGTTCAAGAACTTGTGCATTATGAGTGCTATTGGAATATCAGTTGTCCGTTAAAAGACTTACTTCTCGAATTCCTTAAATGTAGATATCAAAAGTTCCACATTTTATTGAACGATTTACTGTGTTGTTCCTAAGTGTATTATTACTGTTCACATATATATATATATATATATATATATATTCAGAGGTGTATTTAGGGGGACAGTGTGATTGCCCATCCCACTTTATGGATCTACATATGGTTTTTGCATAGACTTTTTATACAATCACCACTCCTAACGTTGACTTATTAGTGGTACCCCCCCCCCCCCCCCACACACACTTCTTTTCCTCCCTTTTTTTTCAAAATCATGGATTTGAACTATAATAATTGGGTGTCTCGTTATACTTTTATCACGTAACTGATCAAATTTCAGAGAGTTGTTTATAAGACTAGTGACCTAAAAAGATAAACCTTAGGTGAATATAAAATATATTAATCAGGTAAAAAAATCTTGTTGCTCTAGATCTGTGCCAGTTTTAAAAAATCGTCTCTTTTCAAATAAACAAAACGTTTAAGTAAGTCTGAAAAATTCAAGGTTGATGACATAAAAGGACTACATTATCGAATTCTTACAGTCCACAATATATTGTAATATAATAGTCCCAGATTTATCTCCCATTATTATAAAGTGCAAAAAATATGCTGTTTTGAGTCACGATTGTAATCTGATCTAAAGTGGTGTATAATTTAATATATATCATTTTTCATGGTCATTTTTGGAGATTAGTTTAATGTTATAAATGCCTATTCCATTAATATTTGCGATGCTATTATAGCAATGACGAAAGTTCTGTCAATCAGAAATGATATCAAAGGGTTTCCGAATGATTCCCTCGTATATATGTGATTCTATGAGTATGATCATGTATTGCTATATATAATTATGAATACATTGAGAGCTGAATAATTAGGTCTATGAAATTAGAGATATAGTTTTCTCTGAATATTGATGTAAGTTGTTGTTTGCTTATCGTTCAGTGGCAAATATTTCCTGTATCATCAGACGACACTGAGTGTTGATTGTTCGCTAGCCTTAATCTGAGGTTTAATAATTCATAAACTTAAGTCTAGGTTTTAACATAAGGGAAAACTTGTTTTGAAATCCCTTTGTATATATATAGTACTAGTACTGCATTTAAAAGTATATGTCATGTACATGAATTTTTAAAATAAAATATGTTTAAAGTAAGTCTAGTTTAATTTTTTAAAGAATACCAGCCACTTGGGTGGATAGTTGTCTCCTTGGCAATCATACCACATCTCCTTATTTTCAACTAATTTGTTTTTCTGATAACGTACCTGTGATGCAATTATAGCTATGGTTTCGGGGTGATTCAGGCGAAGACCACGAGCAAGCCGTCTCTGTGCCACACATCCTGCTTGATGGACCAATAAGCTCTCCAACTCTCGCGGTGCTAACTTCATATTTCTGTAAATAATTTAACATTCTATCAACTAACTTGTTTTTTACTTATTCATTTGATCTAGTTTTAAATAAATCACTCATTTAAACTAAATATATTGTCCGACAAGGATTCATGAAACCTGTATGAAGGGCTGTTTCGGACTTTTTTCTTAAGCGAAAACGTCTGACCAACAACTGGCGCGAGTTCAGCTATAGTTTCCTGTTGTAGCGATCAAAGTTTGACAATGACAATAACCCCCAAACTTAATCCCAACCTTCCTATTGTAGTGTGGAACCTTGTGCTAAAATATTGACCAAATACATTTCTCTTATACTCAAGTTATTGTCTTAAAACCAGACAAATAACTGTTTTGGCCCCTTTCTGTCTCCTAATTACAAAACCGCTAAGACAATAACCCCCAAAATCAATCCCAACCCTCCTATTGTGGAATGAAACCTTGTACTAAAATTTCTTACACTGCACATTCATACACTTACACTAAAGTTATTGTCTGCGAACCAATTTATTTTCCATGAACCAGTAAAACTGACCTTTTTTTGGCCCCTAATTACAAAACCGCAAGGAAAATAGCCCCCAATAACAATCCCAAACTATCCTTTAGTGGTATAGAACCTTGTGCAAACATTTCATAGAGATCCATGAACTTATACTCAAGTTATTGTCTGCGAACCAAAATGTCTTCAGACGCTGACGCAGACAACACCATAACATAATTCTACCGCAAAGTATAAAAAGCGTAAAAGAACAGGTACTGCAAAGCAATATAAGTACTTTGTACAAAACCAGGTCGTCTGAATTATTTAAGCTTATTGTGTGCATGTCATATCATATGGTTTTAAAAAATGGCAACTTTTAAATTTCAAAATTCATTGAATTATGTTTTCGACTGCTAAATTCAAGTTAAAACATGTATTGTTGTGGTTATATAAAACAAAAAAGTTTTAGTGAGTTTGAATCTTATGCAACTTTTGGGTTTATAGACATATCTGAAAACTGGCTGCTAGCGGAGTGGCTGCTAGCGAGTGCCTGCTAGCTTGAGTCTAGCGCAAATAAAGAATAAACAGGTTGCAAATAAGTAAAAGTGTATCACTCAAGCGCGGAGACGGGGAAATACGTGCCAACAGTGTAATTTCACCTCCACGAACCAATAACTTACACCAGTGACAAGAAAACAATAGAAAGGAAATCATTTAAAAGAGGCAGCGTATAAAAAGCAAATAGGGAACAGATAAGTAACAGGGTATCATTGGAGCGTAAAAACTGGTAAAAATGCGCTAACTGGGTTATTTCAACACCACTAATCCAGTAGTAACACCAGAGACATGAAATGGGAAAAAAATAAATAAAAAGGGGCAATGTTTAAAAAACTAATTAGGAACGAATAAGTAGTTATTTCACTCTACAAACCATGGGAAATAACACCAAACACATGAACAAAAATTATTAAAAAGAGCAATGTACCCAGGACTAAGACCACAGACTAAAAAGGGAAAAAGGGGAAACATAAAGAAGGGGAAACGTATAAAAAGCGAATAAGGAACAAATAAGTGATAGGGTGTCAGTCGAGCGCTGAAACGGGTACATACGCGCTAATAGGGTTATTTCACTTCTACGAACCCAAAGTTAAATAAAAAAATAAAAGAAATAAAGGCATCGAAAAGGTGCAACATACAATAAAATAAGGAACGAACAAGTAGCGAATAAGTAACAGGGTATCAGTCGAGCACTAAAACGGGTACATACGCGCTAATAGGGTTAAATCACGACTACGAACCCTGAGTTAACATCAAAGAAAAGAAAAGAAAGCATTAAAAAGGTGCAACGTTTTAAAAAGCGAATAAGGAACGAATAAGTAGCGAATATGTAACAGGGTAGCAGTCGAGCGCGGAAACGGGTACATATGCGCTTAAAGAGTTATTTCACCTTTACCAGCCCAGAGTTAATACCAGAGACCAAAAAGAATAAATGAAAAGAAAGCATTAAAAAGGTGCAACGTATAAAAAGCGAATAAATAACAAGGTATCAGTCGAGCGCTAAAACGGGTACATACGCGCTAATAGGGTTAAATCACGACTACGAACCCTGAGTTAACATCAAAGAAAAGAAAAGAAAGCATTAAAAAGGTGCAACGTTTTAAAAAGCGAATAAGGAACGAATAAGTAGCGAATATGTAACAGGGTAGCAGTCGAGCGCGGAAACGGGTACATATGCGCTTAAAGAGTTATTTCACCTTTACCAGCCCAGAGTTAATACCAGAGACCAAAAAGAATAAATGAAAAGAAAGCATTAAAAAGGTGCAACGTATAAAAAGCGAATAAATAACAAGGTATCAGTCGAGCGCTGAAACGGGTACATACGCGCTAATAGGGTTATTTTACTTCTACGAACCCAAAGCTAACACCAGAGACAAACAAATAAAAGAAATGAAAGCATTGAAAAGGTGCAACGTGTAAAAAGTGAATAAGGAACGAATAAGTAGCGAATAAGTAACAGGGTATCAGTCAATTATATATAAGTAACGAATAGGTAACAAATAAGGAATAAGGAATAAGTAGCGAATAAGTAACGAATAAGGAATAAAGAATAAGTAATGAATAAGTAACGAATAAGGAATAAGTAACCAACTTGACGACCCTAAGTATTCTTGCCTCGCAAAGGCCATTAAGGTTCATCATAACCTTTTGACTAATATATATGGCGCTAATGTGGCCGTATTTACACCACGAATTTTACTCTGAGTATGTACCAGTGGTTTGATTCCGCCAGTGTACTTTATCCAGAGGCAAAAATCCGCAGTGATTTTTATCCACCAACAAAAAATCACTAGGGTTTTCTGTCCGGGTCCAGTGTAAAACATCCACCAGTCATTATATAAGGTTCTAAAAAGGTTTTTTTGAAGGGGAAATATATATAAAATGTGGCTTAATAGTTTTTAGTGTATTTGAAAATTGAATAGTTGATTTATGTAAAAAGTGGAGAGTTTTCATCCAAGGAATGTTCACACTAGTGTTTTTGAACCAGGAATGATTACACTAGTGATTTTGTACCGGATTGATTGCACTAGTTATTTTATACCCGGCGGGATTAATTACACTAGTGCTTTAGGTCCATTCATTGATGAAGTGATTAGTACTCATTTTGAACACACGATAACACATTAGAATATAGCAAAGTACTCTCGACCAATGAAATTGTAGAATTGGATGCCTCTTAATTGTGAAGAATGAATGTAAATCATGTTCTTAGTAAGGGATTATCCTATTATTTGGGTTTATTTTCAGTTCAAAACAAAGAGTTTCTATAAAGGAGTTACAACTGCCCCGAAGCACATTTATCAGATTGAAAGGTTTTATCACAAAGTGATTGAAACTGACTAAAAGTTGAATTGTGAAACAAACAAAAATCTCAAAATAAGTTGAAGTTTACTGGTGCAGTAAAATTGGTACCGTGAATTTTATTATGAAAATATTAATAACTTCAAATTACTATAAAATTAAACATTACCAAAGCAATGCAAAAAAAAAAAAAAAAAAATCTTTCAGATAAAAAAATAACCTTTAGCTTTCCAAAACTTTGATTACTTGATCAGAGGTTGGGGAGAATAGTTATTTCCAATACAATTATTCCGATAAAAAACAGGAATTAAATTTTAAACATATTAAAAACTTTTAAGGGCATTATTTTTGAGCATTTCCCTGACATAATGAAACAGTATTTGATGTAAAAAGCCGGACCAAATTATTGGCTGTGAAATAAAATTTAGTTGTAACTCTAATGTATTAATTTATTTAAACTGTAAATAAAACTGGATAATTCCTCACTAAAATATTACATGATTTACATTCATACTCACAATCAGGAAACATACAATTCATACCTTTTCTTTCTACTGTTGTGCCCCCCAAGGGTGACTGGGGAATAGAAGTATGGTCACCATTGGTCTTCCTCCGACCGGCAGTAAAACCCGTGCTAAAGTGGGGCGTCCGTTTGGCTGTGCGGGATGTACAAATTCGTAGCCACGTCCGGTCAGAATGGGGACGTTAAATCCGATGCCTCGTGTAAAGAGAGTGCCACGCTCTTTGCACGTTAAGAACCCTTGCAACAACTCTTTGAGGGGTCCGTAGGTGACCTGTTGCAAGGCTAAATTTCTGTCCCTATCCAATATACCCTCATTTCCCGTGGCAGCCTAAATTTCTCCGACCTTAATCCCTTAATCTATTACAGAACCTACCTATTATATTTATTGTGAACTTGTTCTCGTCCTGAATATGCATGAAATATTTGCCACTGGACGTTAAGCAACCAACAATCAATCAATCAATCTACTGTTGTGTCACCTAATATCTATAACGCATTTTTTTTTTAAATATTTCCCAAATGATAAGAAAGTCCTCACATCACTAAAACATATCCATAAATGACATGCCGAAAAAGGAAGTCATGCATCAATTATAAACATTGCACTGACAATGAAACTAATTCTTGAATAGATCATTTGAGCCTTGGGCACTTTACAATATTCTAAGTTTGTAAGAGAATGATAATCCCTTACATGTCTAGGTTAGTCTATGGAAAGGTATATACTATGAAATTTAGAGCGAGGTGCTTGCCCCGAGCTCTTAATTTCATAGTATATACCTTTTCATAGACTATCCAATTTAGCACATATTTACACCTCGAGAAATCTTTTAATTGGTCTATTGATAGTTTATTTTGGCTGACTACTTGTATCACAGGTGTTTGTAAAACGGAGCTCATTAACGAAGTTTTGTAAATCTACTCACTAGTATCATTGTAAAATATGTGATTTCAAAAGGCCCTTCACTCCAGAATGAAAAGATGGTAGCTGCTGGTGTAAGTATGTACTATACTGATATAAAGCGTTGTTTTACTATACATGTTTTTCTTACATGGTAAGATGACAAAATAAATTGACCAAAAGCAGGCAATAATTAAATTGCAGTGGAAGCTTTACATGTTTTGAAAACATTTTTTAATTTCA